AAGAATCAAGTAACTAACCGTCTCTGCAGCGCCACCTATCACTACAGAAGCAGGTCAGCTAACGCTTCCCTGGCACGCCCCACCCATACAGGACGAATCAGGTACGCTAACGTCTGCCACCAAGACGATGCACGACTACCGGGGAAGACACGCAGGTACTAAGCGTTCCCGCGCAGCCGCAGCAGTCACCTACGGGAAGAGACCAGGTACTAACGTGTGCCCCCAGACCACGCTACGGAAGAAGGCAGGTACTAACGTCGTGCGCCTGGGCACGCACTATCAGGAAGAATCCGTATAACGTCTCCCTGGGCAGACGAACCTAACGGGAAAGAAGGGGCGAGGTACTACAGGCGGTCTCAACTACGCCCTGAGGCCACCATAAATAGCAGGAAGAGATCGGTAAGTAAAAACTCAAGAGCAAAAAAAACCGTCTCACCATGGCGCTGCACCAACCGGAATACGGAAGAGATACAGGCTACTAACAAACGCGTCTACACGGCCAAAACAGCACGGCCACACAGACCATATCGAATAAGAAAGCCAGGTACTAAAAAACAGGTCTTCCCCTAGAATCGGCAAACGCTATACTAGAGATCCTGCTGGCGCACGCTGCCATCCGCTGTCTGTCTCCCATCCGGCATGACCGTGGTCGCCGTGCACGACGTCAGCCCCTGGGGAGGAGAGTATGTGCGCTTATCTGGTTCTAACTCAGAGTTGTCGAAAATGTCGGTCGAGCCATGACAAACGACGTCAGAGAAATGCAAAAAAAGATCGGTCGAAGCTTTAATCAATCTCTCCACCTTTTATTACGACACCCGCCATTGACCCGTATCTATATATCACTGTCTCTCACATGCATGTGATGAGACACGCACGCACGCACACACGCAAGCATACACGCGCGCACGCACGCAAGCACGCACGCAGGCACGCACGCACACGCGCGCGCACGCATGCGCACGCACGCACGCACACGCACGCACACTGGCTAACATAAAGGCTAAGACATGCTAACTATGCCGAAAAAAACCTACACCCAGGCGGCGCCACCCATCGCCGCCCCGATCCCGTTTCCGCGACGACTCGTAACGCTTCCGTCCACAATGACGGGCCCACCAGGGAGCGCCGGCGCGCGCTCACTCGTAGTCGAAGGTGAGGCCGTGTGGTTGGAGATGGTCACGTGAGAGTTGGTCGACGCGAGCGGACATCTCTGCCGTGTAGTACGCCTTCCAGCCACCCACCTTACCTGCACACAAAGGTCAGCAAGGTCACGTAGAGGTCATGCTGACGTCAGCAAGGTCACGTAGGGGTTATGTTGAGGTCAGAAAGGTAACATAGGGGTCACGCTGAGGTAAGAAGGGTCACGTAGAGGTCATGCTGAGGTCATAAACGTCACGTGAAGGTCACCCAAAGTTGTGAGGGGGGTCACATTGAAGTCGCAGGGGTCGCTCTGTGGTGGCGAGGTCACACTGAGGCGATTCTGAGGTCATCCTGAGGTCACGGGGTCATGATGAGGTCGTGATGAGGAATCAATTATTTCCATGACGTTCCGTTTCCTCCCCAGGCACATAGATCGCTAGGATTGAACCATCGTTAGCGCACCCTGGCGGCAGCGGCAACCTCACCTCTAGTGACTAGCGCCCCCTGGCGGCAGCGGCGTGCTCACCTTCTCGTATGAAGTTCTCGCTGTTCTTCTTGAAGAGACCCATGTCCTTCATCCAGCCGTAGTTGGTCGCCGCGTTATCCCGCATGCTGCGGAAGCTGCAGTGTTCGGCTGTGCGCGAGACCTGATCGTCGGTGAGGCGCCGGTCTAGGAAGGCGGCGGTCTTCCTGATCACCGCCGGAAGGTCCTGCGGGAGAGAGAGGGAGGAAGGAGGAGATGAGAAGCTGTCTCTCTNGCACGCACGCACGCACGCACGCACGCACGCACGCACGCACGCACGCACGCACGCACGCACGCACACACACGCACGCACGCACGCACACCAACACTTCCACACACGCACGCACGCACGCACGCACGCACGCACACACAACACTCCCCACACACGCACGCACACACGCACGCACGCACGCACGCACGCACGTACGCACCTGTCTGCTCGGTGAAATAGAACATGAAATCCTCGAAGCTGCTATCCATGTGTCTGATCTCCATCATCTGAAAGAACTTGTAGAGCGATATGGACGTGTCCTTGGGGTTGCGCACCGTGTAGATAATCTACAGATAGAGAGAGAGAGATAGATAGAGAGAGGGGGAGAGAGGGAGAGAGAGGAGAGAGAGAGAGAGAGGAGGAGAGAGAGAGAGAGAGAGAGGAGGAGAGAG